TTCCAGACCGGGAACCGGGGCTGGGATCTTCCTGGGAGGAAGGCTCCACCCTGAGCCCTCGGCACTCAGCGAGGGGAGGGCAGCAGAGGCAATGCGGAACGGGACGTGTTTCACCAACAATAAGCCACAACTTTTATTAATGGATAGAAATAGTACAAATTTTAAATTTAGTAGCATTTTACTCTTCTCTGAAACACCAAAAAAGGCTCCACTCCACCCTCTGGCAGCTACATCGTCAACTCCTGCGGAGAGAGGGGGGTGTTAGGAGCCAGCCTGGCCGGGGGCACTGGGGCCAGTGGTGGCAGCACGGGGGGGGTCCCCGTTGCTCCCGGGCCACCTGGCCCCTCCTGAGCCACCACTCACCATTATGGCGTTGACGATGTCGTTGCTGTTGTTCTTCAGGGCACGCACGGCCTTCGCTCGCGACACGTTTGCCTGGGACATCACCAGCTCGATGTCTTTCACCTCCACGCCGGTTTCGTCAACCTAAAGGAGGCACAGCCCGGGATTTGCACCGGCTCCATGTGCCCCACGCCCCGGGGAGGAACTGGGGCAGCTCGTGCTTGGGCCACATGGGAGCAGGGAGGCCAGGCCAGGGAAGTTGTACCTCTTCTTCCTCGCTCTCCTCCTGCACGGTGGGGGTCTGTGTGTTTTCCTGGATGTTTGAAACAGCTTCTCCCTGCACTTTGAACTTTTCGGCAGCTGCCAGCTGAGCCTGCTGTGACAGGTCTTCAATCTGGACGTGGGAAGAAGAGTAAGCAGGAGAGGGTTACATTTAGAGCTGAGGAACAATTTCTTGCCCTGGAGGGTTGTCCAGGGCTGTGCCAGGCTGCCCAGGGCAGTGGTGGAGTCCCCGCTCCTGGAGGGGTTCCCAAGCCGTGGAGATGTGGGGTGAGGGACATGGGGCAGTGGGGACCTGGCAGTGCTGGGGGATCAGTTGGACTCAAGGAGCTGAAAGGTCTCTTCCAACCAAACCATCCTCTGGCTCTGTGAGCAAGGCCAGCCCTGCACACAGTGGGACACCCACACAGGGGCTCCCAGTGCTGCGGCCGTGCTCCCCACACCACAGTGGTGCCAGCACAAGACACGGCTTTGCCATAGAACCCAGCCTGGAAGCCGGGCCCCCGTATGGACCCCGGGCCTGCCCATGTCCCTTGGGGGTGCCCAGGGCACCCGGGGCCTGCTGGCAGCAGCCCTGTGGCTGTGAGCACGGATGAGCAGAGCCCACACAGTGCCCACTCACCTTTGCCTCGCCAAAGACTATGTAGGTGTCGGACGCGGGGCTCTTGTACACGTCTGGCTTTGTGATGACAAAGAGGATGTTCTTCGATTTCCGGATGGTGACCCTGGTTACTCCCGTCACCTGACGAAGGCCCAGTTTAGACATTGCCTGAAAAACATGAGAAGAAAGTTATCGAGGGCAAGAAGAGCAGCTGAGAGAGCCCAGCCCGTCCTCATCCGTCTTCCAGAGACCCAGCTCTGACCATTGGAACCGGGACCTCTCCTGCGCCGGAGACGTGGTCCCAGGCACTCGGCCCAGCGCCGTGCTGGGGCCTGGCAGGAGATGCCCTGGGCCCCACAGCCGCAGGATCTGCAGCGCTGGGCTCTCCAGACACGAGGGTTCTTGTCCATGACCCCCGACCCGGGCCCCTGGCAAGCACAGGAGCAGTGC